TTTGGTTTGCAAATAGTTTACAGGATGGGAATTTTAAAATTAGACTTAAAAAGTTGATTACTAATTACTTGCACAGTGATTAATAATCACACAGAAAAGGATAACTAAGTTATATTATTTGAAACAAAGTTATTGCAAGAATTTATTATTGGTCAGGCCATGTAAAAGGCTTGATGAGATCTTAGAAACACGGTCTAAAATTTTTTAGTATTATTTTGGCCTCGTGTTTGAACATTCTCAGACCAGTACCTAGTGTTTCTGAAATCATTTTTTTAAAAAATATTTCATACAATCAATATGATGAACTTGGTATTATGTCTAGAACATATTTATTTATTTAAAAAATTATTTATTTATACCATTGTTTTAAATAATATTCATTTACCCATACTAATCTTGTGATTTCCCTAATAGTTTCAAAGATTATCATCCAAAGACTTGTTTTAAACTTTTCTGAAAATTTTTACTGAAATTAATTTTGCACAACCTTGACCAAATGGATACAGAGGTAAAGCAAATTCTAGTATATTAAACAGTGTACATTCAAATTTCTTCATCTTCATTACCTTAAAAATTTCATTAAGCTGGCTTAAGAAAACAGTGTATGTAAAATAGCTTAAGGAAGAAACTGAGAACTAAAATTTAAAAAATTTTGATATTACAATTTTATAGTCTTATAAAGAATCATATCATTGAAATTTATATGTTTACTGATAAGTAGAATTTTTTTATGCTAATTATAAATTAAACTAAACTCAGTGGCGTAACAGCCCATTATGGCCAAGCCCTACTGTGCCCATCTCAGTATTCGTGACCTTGGACACTGAGATGCATCAGCAGATGTTCTGGTCAGGTCGTCAGTCTGACACAAAAACCCTAGTGCTTAGTTTCAAACAAGCTTGGTACTTATTTATTGACCTACTAAAGGGATGAGAAAGGCAGAGTCGACCTTGCCCAGCCCGGAATTTGAATACCTGACCTGTGGCGTGGAAGCCACAGGGCCATTACCACACTCAGCCACCGGGCTTATGCTAATTATACAAGAGTATAAATAAGATAATGCAGTATCAAATGTAAACTTTTCAAATCAGTTTAACAAAACTAAAATAAAACTATGCAATATTATAAAAATGTCAAGCAATTTTTAACATAAGTTTTAAATAAAAAGGAATAAACATAAAAATCAAATTAAGATCGTGAATTTCTATAAAATAAGATAGAACATTTTAAATTGGGTGTGGAAATTCTGGATAAAAATAAATCTTTTATAGGCATTTTAATGCGCAAAAAAAATGAATTTAAGAATTTTACCTGTGAATATATTTTTGACATAATTCTGTTATATTTATTGAGATTCTTCTGCCGTGCTTTTTGAAGAGCTTTATTTTTCTCTGATAAAAAGGCATTTCTATAATCAAGAAATATGAATTAATCACAAAAATATTATCATATTTTTTATTGTGATAAATATATAACATTTCAAACATATCATGCATAAGAATAAATTGCAACAACAAATAGGAAATTATAAACAGAGAGAGATGTATTTCATAATATATAAAAGCCAATTGCATTTTACAAAATAAATATATTGGTAAAAACTAAACCCAGTGGCACAACAGCCCATGAGGGCTAAGGCCTACTGTGACTATCTCAGTATACGTGACCTTGGGTGTTGAACTGCATGAGCAGATGTCCGATCTGATGGTCAGTGACGCGCAACCCCGAGTTTATTTCCCAAGAAAGAAGAAAGCATGGTATTCATTTATCAATCCACTGCAGTAGGGATGAAAGGCTGAGTCAACCATGCTCAGCCTGGGATTTGAACCCCGGACCTGTGTGTGGAAGTGCGAAATGCTACCACTCAGCCACTGGGCTTCTCATACAAGTATATATACAGTTAAATATGCTGTAATGAAAATATGAATAAGAGCAAATACGACATATTTGTATAAATAAGTAGCAAACATGCTAAATTTGCTTTTTGTAAGCATCTATCAGGCAGTAATATTCAGGGCTGAGGACACGGAATCAGAGTTAAGCAGATTCTGGGGTAAAAGGAGTTGCTAAAAACATATCAGCTTGAACTCCAGTTTTTGTTGGAGTTTGAATTTGAAATGAAATTAAAGTGAATTGAAAAAAAAAATTAATGACAAACTGAATTATTTTTATTTATGGACTATATACATCAATAAATATTGACATACTAATAACTAAATATAAGGGAGGGGGATAGATGTGATAATTGCCTTTATTCATTAACCTGATTCATGTAGTTACCTCTTAGCTCATAGATGGCATTATTGTAGCATAATTCACAACAGAAAAATGGAGCATAGTTTGAAACTCATAAGTTTTGGCATCTCTTATTATTCCATGTACATAAAGACTGCCAAAATCAAAATACTAATAATTTACAGTTTAAAAACCTTATTTGTGGGTTATTTTAATACAGTTTTCTGTCTGAAGTTGATCAAATTGGATCTACATCTTCTATCAAAGAAGATCCTGCTGAAGCTGTACTGTTTCTCAGAAATTACTAATGCCAGTTTTCCATTTCATAATAAATGCTAATGCAAATAATCTGCAATGTAATCATTTTTTTTTCTGTAGCATCTATTACTTCTTTTATACTTAAAAAATAAGCTGTATCTCATATGTATATGTTAACATATTCCAGGAATCAAAGTTAGTCACTTTCCCAACTGACTCCAAGACCCTGTGCTATTAAATGTAAGAATACAAAAGTAGAATAAATGGTATTAAGTATTTTGAAATGATATATTTCAGCAAATAAACTATGCTATTTTATTTATTCTTTTAAAAAATATTTAGTTAAAGAACATATTTTTTTCATTAAGTCAAAAACTACTTATTTAAGATAAATTTAACTTGCATTGAAATTATCAATAACATTAAATTTGCATTTATGATTTAAGAAAAATTCAAATATAAACTAAATATTTATGTATTATTCAATAGCATTAACCTACATAAAACAAAAAATTATTCCCCAAAACATCTTTTGATAGCCTAAATGCAAAAGTAAGATTTAAAATTGAAACCTACTTTGATCTACCATAAAACAAACTACAAGAAAAATTGTTTATTCACAATATTATTTTTTATCACATAACAAATAAAATTATATGGTTGGAAAACTTATTTTTGGCTGGTTTCACAGGATAATCTAACTACCTTTTGTAGTCAAAACGGCACTTTTATGAATTTGTATACATGAACATCCATTTTTTAATGTAGAAAATAAAAAAAAAAAACATCCAGTCTTAATTTATAACAAAATAATAATTTACAATGTTAAGTTTTTAATTTATATTGTAATTATATATTTATATATTTTATTTTTAATTTATATTATTTTTAAAACAGATCTTAAATGAAAATTCAAAACTAGAATATTATTAAAACAAAATATTGTAAATCCAATTTTACTGTTTAGAAAATGATGAGAGAAAGCAACAACAACAACACACACACACACAAAAAAAACAGTACATATTGCATAATAATGGTGTTGCTTATTTTTTTAAAAAAAATAAAATAGAGCTTAAAGAATATTCAAACACATGAGATAAATAAAAAAAAGTTTCAGTTGTTTA